TGAGATGTATTCACCCTATTTCGCCTAAGCTGATGAAGGACTGGTATTAGAATTTTCCCACAATGTGGGAAAATTCTAATACCAGTCCTTCATCAGCTTAGGCGAAATAGGGTGAATACATCTCATATTACTGATTTACTGGTAGTCTCGAAACTCTACTCTAATACGAAAATAAAAAAATGCACACATTCTTTGGAGGTAGGTCTCGATACTAACGGAATATCTATTATAAAAACATGTATGCCTCAAAGTTGGGCAACTAGGAAGTTAACCGAATGAATCCAATAGTAGTAGGTAGAGCTTTAAATGCTCTATTAACGAGGAAATTCATCTAATGTAGAGGAGAATTACTTTCTTTCAATCGGCTAATCAAGCAGAACGATGTAATCAGAGATAGAGAGACCCAAATGGATTAGAAATGAGTATGATCACAGGCCACCTTGCAGTGGAAAGCCATTATATTGGCTGGAACACAAATGAAAGACCAGCTTCACACTGCAAAAATAGAAGGAAATGAAAGAATATGGAAACCGTCGACATCTCAACTCAGAGGGATCTAAGGAAAAGGAGATTGGGAGAGATAAGAATGTTATAGAATTTTATTTGTTGTTTCGACAGATTAGGGGAAAATTGATAATAAAAAAAATTGGCATAAAGAAGACGTAAAGGCAAAAGTATTAACTCGGACAATAGAAAGAGATATCATATATAAAAGGCTAATAATAGAAAAAAATTAATTTAATAGAAGACGATTGCAATAAATGGAGTCAAATTAATGAACCAACTTTGGAATTTGGTTGACTGAGAAAAATATATGGACGCTAACTATTACTTGTCCGAAAATTTGCTTAGTCAACAGTACGAGGTATGTCCTTTGAAGTATCCCTTCGAACGCAGCTGAGATACAAGAATGAGGTGAGACCAGTAATAGGCAGATTTATTTATCACCAAATTCATGATAAATTCGTCTTTATCTAATCTGATTATTCATGCGAAGCAGACAAGTATGTCTCATTAATGCAGATAGATTAAAAAGCAGAACGACTATCGCTCCTGTCGATTCCGAAACGACTAGTCGGCAAGATAGTTCACTCAAACTCGGTATTCCTTATTGTCTCTCGGTCCGGGGGAAATATAGAGTTATGCGCCCTCGTAGGGAGATATAAAGTAAAAGTATTTATAAAACTTCTATTTTTTCGCACGTAAATATACTCATGATAAAGCTCATTTCCTATAAACAAATCTTGCAAAAAAAATTATTATTCAAAAGAATCCGTTAAGAAGAAATGCCAACTTGTGAAAGAGCTGTATCGAGGTAGATAAAAAGCAAGTATTACTTGAAAGGATTTACAAGGCATATTCTATTGTGGAACAAACGATTGGTTAAACTAAAAGTGTACACCTAACCACGGGCAAAATCACTCTGCCTCTACCAACAATCTGATAAAGTAGAAAAACTGAAATAGCTATCAGCGCCCCTACAAGACATATCTCAGAGTCTAGCTATCATGCACAAGAAGGGAATTTATTTTAATCCATTCACAAACCGAGACACAAATTCCTTATTGCTTAAACGAAGACTGGAGATAAGTCTAAGGAACGCCTGAATTTGCGTACAAAACATGCATATACCGAAATTATCTTTAAACTGGAGATAAATTTCCCTTCCTTCTTATTTATTTTACTTTTGCAACTTTAATAGTTCGTTCAGCCTGGCAGTGTACATTCGGAGGGAAAAGGTCAACTGAATAAATAGTGAGCGCATTGGAATGCTGCTTATGTTAATTCCTATTTTGTAACATCTGCTATATTATACAAATAAACTACTTAAAAACTACATATGGTATGGCAATTAAGCATATCCGAATTGGTGAAAATATCAAGGTAAATGAGAGATATAGAAGCTTGAAGTAAACTGGAGACAAGTGCCAATTTAACTTTTAATAAACTTGCAGGTTCGAATTTGTCTCTGGTACCCTTTGATGTAAGTCTGAGCATTGGGTCGTCACTGTCGCAAAAGGACAGGTCCGATGCCTGGAACCTCCAATCTCAAGATGAGCCCCCTAGCTCCTATTCAGACTAGTTTGCCCCTAGTTTTTTTTTGGTATCTGCCCCGAATGCCAGTAGATCTCGGCAAATGGACAATATATATGAGACTCACCAGCATTAGCGGGCTGACGCCCGATGACTTCATTAGAACCCAATGTATCCTGATTTATTCTGGCTTCCCCAATCGTTGGTTGACCGTCTTCAGGGCCCTCACTTGTTGATGAGGCTGTTGCACCTAAAGTGGGCGAGCGGTTGGAGTCAAAATTGACGTGTCGTAGACGCACCCGCTCACGACGTTCTACACGCCGCTGGCTTGGAATCAGTCCGACAGCGCCCATTACGGTACCCAAGGTGGGATGAATGCGTCTCGCCTAAAATAATATGAGCAAAAATGGTTTATTGAATTGATTAAATTTGGCTTAAAACTTTAAGGAACCAAGTATACTCTTTTTAAAAGAGGCACAGAAAGTGCGAAACTTTAAGTTGCAACAGAGTAACCGTGTAAGCATGACCAACTTTAGATGCCCGTAATAAGAAGTGACGAGGCCAAAGCGATCGGTCTTGGATATAAATGTAGTGAAAATCTCCGGGCAGAGGAAAGCTTTCCCTACTCTACCGTGTCGTCATATATAAGCGTGGAAACAGTAGTTTCAATATGTATTTACTGATAAGCCCAAGAAGAACTTGAATAACCAAGTGATACTACGTTGGGAGGTGTTACTTAGTCTGAAACTTATCATAAGCAAAGGGCAGCAAAGATAGATAGAGGTTAATATAAAACATGTTTACAAAATTTTAAAATATGATGAAAAAATTTTTCCTGAATCTGAAAAGTGAGTGTGACCAATATTGACAACAGCGGAAGAGTAGTGAATGAAAAAGGAGTAAAGCGACGGTTATGTAAAAAATGAAAGAGGACAAACGGAACCAATAAAAATGCGTATGCATCTGTAGATGTGTTTGAATGCATATATGCACATGCACATGTATGTGTGTATATGCAATAATTTTACACCAACAAGTATACATTGGTATTTTGCCTCAATAGGTCTGATTCATACTTTCGGGAGCATCCGACGCAACATGACTAAAGAAGCTGAAGGTGGGCAGATAACGTCTGCCACAAAGGACAACATAAAAATCATATACACTGAATAAATGCTGACGAGGTAATTGCATTCAAATTTTATCAGCTAATTCAGAATCTCGAGGTCCTCAGAGCGCCGCTCTATGACCCCGACGAATCCGTGCCGAGCCTTCGTCCGTCAATTGACGGACATCGTCAAGGCAAGACAGCATATTTTACGATAATTCACCAAATCTCGAAGGCAGGAATGGTCCTTGTGTCTTAGTGAATTATCGTTAAACATGGTGTCCTGCACTGATAATATTTATTTTGACGGGCAGCAAGGATTCATCGAGGTCGCGGGGCGGGTTGCCAAAGAAATATTCACACAAATATATAGTCGCAGCTCCAAGAAAATGTTCCTTCGGCTCGACATGAGGCCAACTTACGAACCACTTCAAGACTTCGTTTTTGATAATGATATCACCGGATACAGTATTTAGTCATTCATTTCGTATGAATGTGTATTGGTAAGAGATTCGAAGATAGAGCTTATCAGAAGATGAGAGCTGATTCCAGTTTTAGTGCAGCCGTTTGAATATAATAGGGCGTTCAGGTTTACGTGCATAGAAATTAACGCACACACATGCACACATAAACATATGCATACACTCGAGTAAAAGAAGCATGACCAATATGATATATAATTAGTTAAACCATTCTATGTCTATATATGTACATACACTTTTGTTTTTTAGTTATGGGTACATATAGGAGATAAGATAGAACCGGATAGTCTTCTAGACCTAGTTTTAAAGTGAGAATTTGACAATAATGGATTCCCGCCTTGATCATGTCCAGTAAATGAAGAACGAAAGCTCAGCCGGTTTTTACCTGCAACAAGGGAGGATGTCTCGTGTATTACATCAATCTGAACGTTGTATCAAGGCCAAACGGCTGCAGTACAACGGGAATTAGCCATCTGCTTTTGGTGAGACCAACCCTCGAATCTCTCCTTCATACACTTCCATATGAACTAAAATTCTCCCAAACATTTGTATCTCAGGAGATTCAGCAAAATCCAATTACTCTTTGTATCTAATAGAAGTGAGTTTACTTCATCTTCTTGAGTAAGCTCGGACCCTTAACAAGTTTATCCTCTGCTTCAGGTCTA